CCATCAACTCACAGTATTATTGTAAGTTTGTAACAATTCTCATGCACTATAATGAAAACTGATGCATGAACAATGATGCTTACTAGTCCCAGTACAATGCGTCCTCCAACGTGGTTGGCAAGGATAGCACCAATGACCCCCACTAGACCAAACAAGGACACAAAGAGGTATCTTTGTGTCCTTGTTTGGTCTAGCAGGGGGTATTGCACAGTAGGACACTCTCCTCCAATTCTACTCTTGTTGTTACAAGAAGTAGATTGCACAGCTTAGTTAAACATGTACCTTTATACCTTCATGCACTAACTGATAAGCTCAGTATTGAGGTTAACAAAAAGCACATAACATAAATTAAGAGAGGGAGTTAAAGCAAGTCATTTAAATTACATTAAAACATGGAAAGGGAATTATTATATAAAGGGGAGATGCTAGTAATATTGTTTGTGATAAGCATTATGCTTCAATGCCTATATTCGATAATTATTGTTTCTAATGGAACTGAAATGTTTTTACTATACATTGACAGTAAACAACATCTGTACCTTTTATGCTACAATTACCACTGAAACACCAGTATGGATTAGATCACAGAATGCTGTACATCTAGTTTTGAGGCCACATCACTGAATAGAATTAAGTGAATTCTTTTTCCTGATCCAGTTCAGGTAAGAGGCAACATACCATAAAACATAGCTTGATTATGATAATTTACATAATGGGTTGAGGTTACAAAAATTCTCTTGCTCCATAATTATAGAGAAATCAGGGGGTCCCCCGCAGGGGGATAACGGGCTTCAGCACCCCCTCATGGCTGGTATTAAAGAATCTTTTAAGCCCTGGTATCTCATATCACTGCTAAGTGTCTTAAGAAAGTTATTCAACCCACCTGACAATCATTTAATTCAGCCTCAATTTCAGCATTTTTCAGTGCTTTAAGACAAATAGGAACTAGCGCCAGCGTGCATAAAATTGCCGTGACCCCGCCTTTATTATTAATGAAAGGATCTAATGATTAAAATGGCGGAAGACTATGCAGAAAAATGATATTTTAGCGCCGCAAAGTAGTAGCTGGCCGGATAAAGTTACTTCACAATATAATACATGCAATATCACTTGCTTTCTCTTTAGCATCACTCTTTATGGCATCTTTTAGAAACGTCACCAATTGAATATTACCACTCTTAAGTTACAAGCATAATGCAATGGTACTTGTCCCTTTGTATTAATAGATTGTAGTAAACCAATGTATTCAGGATACTGACTGATGATATGCTTAATAAAATGAGTATGACCTTCAAATGATACATAATAAAATATATTCCAACGATTTTTATCTGTTAGGATCAAACTACACTTATCATAGTCCTTTTTGTATGATTCCAGTAGTAAAATATCACCAGATTCAGCAGCATAATGAATTGGTAGCTTACCATTACTGTCAGCTTGATGAGGGTCTAACTGATAAGTAGTTATTAATTCCATAGCAAGTGATAAGTTAAGAGACAGAGAGGCATAATGTAAAACAGTGTGGCCATTCTTATCAACTGCAGTAGGTACTGAACTAAATCAAAATTACCACTCCATGCAGCATGATGTACTAACGTGTGTCCCACTTTATCTGTTTTATTAATATCACAATGCTGTACCTCAATCAGATATTGAGTGACATCAATATGACCATTATGACATGAAATATGAAGACATGTCATACCATCATTACCAGTGATATTAGGATCACTGTTATGATTATTAATAAGATATTTAATAGAATTAATACTGCCTGCCTGGCAGTAGACTAGTGGTGAACAACCATAAGTATCAATATCATTAGTAGTGAGATTATACTGAAGTGTGATATAGCTTAATGTACTAGTAGAGCCTGACCTGGCAGCATGATGTACTGGGGACATAGCATCATTATTGACAGTAAAATTGATATTGTATTTTCTAATGCTTTCACTAGCAATGTACTGCCACTCCAAGATGCATAATGAAGTAATGAATGGCCAGAATTTGTATTGGAATTGATGTCAAAGTTGGAGCAAGTGCTAGCTTTCATGAGAAGTGAAAGAAACATTTCAACTCTTTCATTTCGTTTGATGAAATTAATGTTTTGTATTATCCTAGTATTATTGATAATACCAATATTATGTTGCATCACTTTGAGCAAAAAGCTTGCTATATACACAATACCAGCTGTAATGCGTATACCTGCATTACATGCATAATGTAAACATGAGTAGCCATCATTATTATAATATCTCAGTTAGTTCCATTCTTGATAATAGACTTGCCGTGTGATAGTAACTAATAATGCTTCATTACCTTGAATACTAACAATATACTCAACAACTGATGATAAAGCATGCCACAAAGCAATATGAAGTGGAGTCCTACCATATTGATCCTTTACATCAATGAATAATTGATATCAATTTAAAACATACTTAAAAGGCTCAACACTTTTACTATTCATGGAATGACAAGTATGATGTAGTATACCAGAACCTGACATTTACATTACTCAAAATTTTGGCCACACACAGCTACAATGTAGTTGGACTACTTCAAACTTTCTAAACAGCGTAAGCAAATCATTACTTGATTTTATTATTTGATCATTATCTCTCTCTTTTTTAATTCAAATTTATTAATTATCATGTTTAGCGAATCAAGTACAATATTTACAAAAATAAAGAAGTTACTACATAAAAACTAAAGCTATGTCTACTTATCAGTCCACACTACAATACAACAAGTTAATCATTGAGTATATTAAATTATGTAAAGTTAGCGTAAGTACTGTGTAACTTTAAGTACATTAAAATCACTTCATATATTGAACTGTATTGATCCTAAATAGAACAATCATCATTATCATCATCATCATCATTATTTTTATACATACCAGTGTAGTGACAGCTCCTGGTTTGCTTCTCCTGACAGATTTAGTTACTTGAAATACATCCACTACACCTTCTGCCTTACACTGTTCTAGAGCAATACTCACTGAACAATAGACTCCTGAACGACTCACTGTATCACTACACACACACACACAATAAATGATCATTAGTTTATCAGTATAACTCTCTCTCTTACCTACAATGTACCACTACTGGTCCTCCTCCAATCTTTTGTTGTCTGTGTATAACATCATCAATAACTTGTAGGACAGTACGTGGTTCCCTAATGACACCATCTGTAGGCCAGTTAGTCACTTGAAACTGCACCACATCCCATGAAGAACTATCATTTTTGTCTGATCTGATGTGCAACTTTCTCTCAATATATCCATTGCAGTCTTTGCTTAATAAACATTTCACAAAATATTCTCCAAAGCTAATTGTATCTGATTCTCTCCAGTATTGATAGCAGCACTCCTACAGTATTATTATTATTATATTAATACATTATTACTGTCAGTCAATAGTTTGTGTCATTACCTGTCCACCTTCTTCAATCCCACAGAGCA